GCGGCCCGAAGTGTTTACCGTCGGCGGCGGCCCGGGGGAGCGGCTCCCTCGCGCCCGCAGCACTCGCTCGCGGCTGACTCGGCTGACTCGGGCCGCCCGGCCCCGAGGAGGAGGAAGCCAGCCCCGGCGGCGCCGGCAGCGGGAGCCCGGGGCGGGAGGCGCGCCGCGGCCCGGGGCGGACAATGCGGGAGCGGGGTGCGGGGAGGAGGGGTCCTCGCAGCCGGCGGCCGCGCCGCCCCGCCGCCCATTCATCGCCGCGCGCCCCTCTCCGGCCCCGCCGCCCCCGCCCTCCTCCCGGCCCGGCCGAGGAGCCGCCGCACAGGAGCGGCCCGCGCCCCCGCCCCGACCCCTCCTCGAATCACAAAACTTCCCCCAACTCCGCCAACTAAGTTGCGCTCTCACCGTGCGGCTCCGGGGCTCCCCCGCGGGCCGAGCCGGAACAGCTCCGCACCTTCGCCGCGGAGAGAGACAATGGGCGGCCGCTCCCCCGGCGGCGGCTGAAGCGGTGGCGGCGGCCGAGGCGAGGAGCGGGTACGACGGTCTCGGCGGAGCCCGGGCGCTTCCCCGCGGCTGCTCGGCTCCGCGCTGGTCCTGCACACAGCCCCGGCCCGCCCGCGCATGCGCCGCGAACGGCCCGGGGAGGGGCGGAGTGCCCGGGAGGGCGGTAGCACCTACGAGTCCTCCCGTGAGTAAGCGAGGAGCTAAGGACCGCGAGCTGGGATTGCATGGCACAGCTGCCCATCATGCTCCGTGAGACCAATAGGAAGGCTCCTGGGCGGCGCGCACCGGTTGCTAAGGAAGGCTGAGGTTGACTGCCGCTGCAGCGGGCGGCAAAGTGATCAAAGTGAGGTGGCGGGTCGAAGCAGCTCTGGGAGACGCCCACCCACCGTCTCCTCTCCGCCCCATCTCAGGCATCCGCCCTTCCTCTGTGTGCCCGGTGCTTACCTGAGCGGTCGCACTTACCACACGCACTGCGACGATTTTACTCCTCTACTTCTCCCACTTCAAATCCGGAAGTGCGGTTTAGTCTCGGTGCCCGGAGCGCGGGAGAGTCCTTGCCGTGTGTTCAACAAGTGTTGGATGGTGGACGGACGGCTCTGTGGCGAGACCAGGATTGTGACAGTGCCTGCCGTGAACTTTTGGTTTCTCCGTCCCCACACAATCTTTCAGTGTTTCGGTTGCAAGGACCTCAGAAATCATCTGGCGGCTCTGAGAAACAGAATGTGGTCCGTGTACCCCTGGTGGCCCAGGAGATTACATTAGTGAGTACACGAAGAAACCTCTCCATTTGATACCTAGTGTTTATTTTAATGTGTATTAGGGAAGGAAATGCCTATCGAACCGTTGTTTCACTGGTGTTATTTCTCAGGTCAAGTAGAAAGTTGTAAAAAAAAGATTCTACTTCAAGAAAAATATTAAGTTAAAAATGGAAACACTTTATATGCAGCTCAAGAACGTGCAGAATAATTGATAGCGAGTGAAATAAAAGAACAGCTGTACCTACAGGGAGGAGGTTATTGTCTGCGAAGGACCAAGAGGGTAGCCTCTGGGTGCTGGTTCTGTACTTTGATCTGGGTGGTGGATAACAAAGGTATATACATATGAAAAATTCATCCAGCTGTATACCTAAATTACTGCACCTTACACATTTTAAACGTGTTAATGTCAGGTTTTTTTAATCCTGATACAGGATATTTCCCCCCCCCAAAAAAAAAAAAAAGTTGCAAAAGATGCAAAGGACTGCCATTTTGGAAACCCTGATCCAGGCAAACTCACTACCAGTGACCAAATACCTGAGTGAAGGTACCTGATGTGTGTTCCAGGCACTTCCATTGTTGAATGGCTCTAAATCTGAGAAATGCTCCTAGTGTTGAGCTGAAATTTGCTTCTCTATCGGTTGACCTGGTGCTCACAAATATTTTCTTAGTTTACCTGTAGAGAACAGCAGAAACCCAAGGCTAAATATGCCCGGTTCTTCATGTGAAATTATTTCCATATCACCTTATCATGATGCTCACCCTCTTCCACACTCAACTCTAATCCATCCTTGTAGATATTTAAAAGCTGGCACAGAGAGAGGAGATGCCTGGGTCCTAGACCGGACTCTGCGACAGAGGAGCCCGCCATGAGCAGGTCACTGCTGGAAAAACCTCAGTCTGCTCTAAAGCAAGGGCACTACCCAGAAAAGTACTTGAACCCTAACATTTGGTAATCCCACAGCTTTCTCTTAGAACTTGGCTGGCCTGTTTCAGAAGCAGCTATAAATGTTACCATGTCATCTTTCTGGTGACTGCTGACAACACAATTCCCTGCTTCCCACCTTGGCAGGATTTGCACCTTTCCAATGGGCTGTAGGAAACGTCAAGAGTCCAGCACTTTTCAAATTTACGGTGCCCACCTGGGAATTGTTTTTTTTTTTTTTAAGACAGTCTCTCTCTCTCTCTCTCTCTCTCTCTCTCTCTCTCTTGCCCAAGCTACAGTGCAGTGGTGTCATCATAGCTCAATGCAACCTCAACCTCAAGCTTCTGGGCTCAAGTGATCCTCCTGCCTCAGCCTCCCAAGTAGCTGGGACTATAGGTGCGTGCAGCCACGCCTGGTTAATTTTTCTATTTTTTGTTGAGACGGGGATCTCACTCTTGTTCAGACTGGTCTCAAACCCTTGGCCTCAAGCAATCCTCTCACCTCAGCCTCCAGAAGTGCTAGGATTAGAGGTATGAGCCACTGTGCCCAGCCCCACCTGGAAAATTTAGTTAACTGGGGATTTTTACTCACTAAGTCTGGGATGGGATCTGGGATTCTGCATTTCTAAAAAGTTCCCAGGTGATACTGATGTTCTTGGTCTGGGACCCCACTTTGAGGGAAAGGGTCTACCCTAAATGCCCCAGACAGCTGAGCCGTCTGTCCTCTTTGGGAAGTCCTAAATTATTATCTGTATGGCTGGTGTCTTCTCATCATTCGGGCCTCAGCTCAAATGTCCTTCCTCAGAGAAACCTTCTTCAGCTACCCTATCAAAAGTAACCTACTCTCATCAAGTCCCTCTCTTTCATATTACTCAATTTTTTTCATAACATTTATCCCAATCTGAAAGTATCTTATTTATTTTTTGTGTTTACTGGCTGTGTCCCCTCACTATAATGTAATGAAGGCACCACGAGATACCTTCAACTGAGTGTCCCTAATACCAAAGATTTGTTCTTCCAAGGTACGCCAAAAATTTCTATACAGTGTACCCCATTTGATAGAAAGAGATTACAGGTTTAATCATGTTCTCACTTTCCCTGAGTAAGTTTCCAAGCCAGGAAAGATGCCAGAGCCTTGTCAAACAGCAGTAGGATCTTGTATCTCTGAACTCTCTCTCTAGTTGACTTGTATCTCTTTAATTGATTTATACAGGCTATAATACCTAAAAATATAACAAGAATAAACCCCATTTTACAGAGAGCCACTGGCAATGCTAAAGCAAAGAAAAAAGAAAATAAGCACAGTTGGAAGAACATGAATTTCTGTTGAGACCCATGCTTCCTAAAATGTCCACTTTTGTAAAAAGAAGCACTGGAACAAACTTGTCCCAGGATGGTTCTTTCACAGCAATGGACATTTTACTGCTTTTGTGGAAGAAATAGCACCCTGATATTGCTTTGGGAACTTCCACTTTCAGCCTTTTGCATGGTGTGAAGCCAGCTCTACCACAGCCCCAATTCGATGGCCTCAGCATGTGATCCAGACCTGAGCCTGTCAAAGCTTCCTGTCCATAGGCAACGGTGGTGATTAGTTCAGGTTTGGACACGTGACCCCAGACAAGCCAATCAGGAGCAATCGGGGTAAATTCAATACTCTGTGTTGAGTATCAGGGTCTTTCTTGACTGTAATCTTTGTCTTCCTTGAATGGAATCCGGAGGGATATGTTTGTCAGCCATGTTGTCACCATGAAGAAAGAACCTAAGAGCGGAGCCAGCACAGTGGATAGGTTAACAGGAAAACAGTGTCTTGGTGGTATTGGTTGAACTGTTAAATCCAGCAACATCCGAAGCTGGAACAACAAGTAGACTTTTCAATTATATAAGCCAATAAAGCCCATCGGAGTGGTGGTTTCTGTCACTTGCATGCAGAAGAGTTCTAATTGCTACACCACTCATGAGCTGATGATCCCTGGTCAATTCCCTGACAAATAGCTATTGAGAGTTTACTGTGTGCCAAGCATTAGGCTTGGTCCTGGGGTTGTAGGTGAAGAACAAGGTTCCTGTCCTCAAGAAACTCACAGTCAAGTGAGGGAAACAGGCAGACAAACCAGCAAGAAATCAAATGTGTGAGTGTCTTTAAAGAAGCAGATGCGGGGCGCCAGGGGCACAGGGAGGAGTACTTCTCCTAATTAAAGGAAGAAATTTGGGAAGACATCCGAGAGGATGAAACAGATAAGCTGGGTCTTGGAAGACAACCAGATAAAAAAACAGTGGGTTAGCACAGGAGACTAGAGAGTGTGCACAGGCAGATGGCAGAGGACCTTTCCAGAAAAGGGACGACCAAATTCAAAGACATGAGATACCAGAAACACGGCACACATAAGAAACTAGGCAGGAGATGAGGCTGAGGCAGGGTAGCGGAGGCCAGGCCTGGTACACTGCCATGCTAAGGAGCACAGGCTTCATTCTGAAAGGCAAAAAGGAAACCTCAAAAAATGGTAAGTAATGGAACAACAATGAGAGCAGACTTTCATCTTAGAAAGATCACCTTATGCTTAGGCTGGATTTCAGTGAGGTATGAGGATGAAGGGGGCAGGGGGATCTCTAAGAGAAACCTGGCTCCAGGTAGGTTTTACAGTCCAGAGATGAATTCTCACTTCTTGGGGACAGGGGAAACCTTCTTTCTTCAATGTCAATCTCAATGCTGTCCAATATATGTGAGCCATAGGTATGATTTAAAATTTTCTAGTAGCCATATTTAATAAGTAAAAAGAAAAAGGTAAAATTAATTTTAATGAAGTTTTTATTTATTCCACAACAACTCTAAGCTGGAAAAATTATCCCCTTTTTACAAGTAACACAGACTTAATGAGATTGAGTAACTTGCTCCAAATCACATAGCTACTGATTGGCACAGCTTTTCTTCCAAGAAATGAAACCTAAGGGAAAGTTGCCAAGTCCATTTAGAATAATACACTGAATTCGGGCTCTCTCATCTCCTCCCCTCCCCTTCTCTCAGAGTAAGTGTTCAGTAAAAAGCTGTTTATGTAACCAATTCCTTGTGCAGAATATATTCCTATAATACATTACAGAAATTCTGCAGGCACAAATTAAACAAAGAAATGGATTAGAGTTAAATACTAGATTACAGGTAAAAGTGCAGTAAATGGCATTCATCATTATGGTTATTACCAGGTCAGACAATATTAACATTTTTAGGGACCTTGATGCATATCCATTGCAAATAGTCTTCCAGAATAGCTATGCTGGTTTATGATGTACATCGCTGCTTTTAGGGCATCAGCATGCCTAACCTCTCTGATTTAAGTTTTTCTTGTATGAAACAGAAAGACCTGGTATTTAGAAGCAATCAGGGCTAGGTTCGGGTCCTGAATGCTCAAATTTTTTGTCTTAAAGGGATCACTACCACTCCATAGCCACACTGTAACAAATACATGAAACAACATGTGCATGACCCTTAGCACATTGCCTGACACAATGCAAGTGCTCTGCCCACTTTAACTCCCTCCTCCACTTCCCCCTTTAGAGACAATAAGATGAAAGACAATCTAGGAGCACATCTGATTATGCAGAAAAAGTAATATTAGAGAAATTCAGGGAAACAAGCTCCCTGCCACAATTGTGATAGAGAATTTCCAACAAAAAGTGCATACTGCCATGTATTGACTTCCTCAATAGATGAGGCAGCCACCCAGTTTCCTGCCCCTAGAGGGTGCCCAGCCTTTAATTAATATATGCCAGATGTACTGCTTATTGATAGAACAATTTATTTAATTTTTGAAACCATTGATTTTCCTCATAATGACCCTTGCAGCAAAAGGTTTGCTTGAAGGCTGCCCATGGGACCAAATTAAGCTTCATTATATTTCCATTGGTATAAGGGTTAGGGGCTGCTGGGTTGATGGAAGGGAGGGAATCACAAAAGCCTTAGGATTAAGGGACCACCCTGGCCTCAAACAAAGTTATTGCCGTATTTCTCTGTCTGGAGGCAGGAGATTTAATTTTAGGGGAATAAAAGGGTCCAGAGACTCTGTCCTAATAACTGCAGAAGAAAACCAGAG